GCTTTTCTTTTTTTCTTTTTCTTTTTTCTGTTTTTATTTTTTGTTATGCAATAGAAACAACAATGCCCCCCAAATAAATATGGGCGTGTAGGGTTTTTTTAGCCCTACACGCCCGTTTTTTTTTTTTTTTTTCATGCGTTAGAAAAAAAAAATAAAAAAAATCCTGCACCAAACTTGGCTGGTCGGCCGAGGCCGAGCCTGGCCGATTCGGCTATCGGCCGAGGCCGCGGCCGATTCCCCCCCCCCCGGCCGCGGCCGGGCGTGCAACGTAGCCCCCAACCCCTCCTTCAAACGCCGGGCATACTAAGCGCCACTTCCACGTATACTTATGTTTCGGCACAACATAGCATCTTCCTAGCTCTTATCAGCACCACTAACACTGGTAGGGGTGTTGTTTAAAAAAAAAAAAAAAAAAAAAAAAAAAAAAAAAAGGTGGTTAGAGCATTGATAAATATCCACGCCAGGCTGGGGGGCTACTGTCCTGGGAGGACACTTGGGAATTGGGAGAGGATGGGTGGGTTTGAGGTTCGGTAGGAGAGGTTCTTGGACACAGCCTCTGGTAGGACACTTCCATGTTAGCATAGTGCTTGTGCCCGTAACCAGTCTCTAGGAGGGTCGGAGTCTGGGGTGGGGTCGCAGAGAGCCCCCGGTGGGAGGGGTGACTGAGGGTGGGAGTTTGGGGTGGGGTCGCAGAGAGCCCCCCCAGTGCGAGGGGTGACTAGTGGAACCACTAAGCGGCTGGAGAAGAGTATACGACCTTGGGGGCCGGGGGGGGGGGGGGGAGGTACTCCTCTTGTCCAGCAAGATTGGGGGATTAAAGACCGGGGAGCACATGACGAAAATAATCCAAAAGCCATAATATAACCACGATAGGTACTCAGGCTGGTCTAGAAGTCGCTTAGGCAAGACACTGCCTGGGGTGCCTCCGAGGAAACATTAGGTTCTAGACTACCTTAGTCTGAGTTGGCTTAGGTACTGACACTGCCTACGGTGGCTCCATGGAGACATTCGGTTCCGGACTAGCCTCGACCATATAATCCAACCATGGAATAATCCGGTTAGGTACTCTGGCTGGTCTAGAATTGGCATAGGTGAGACGGTGCCTAGGGTGGAATAATCCCGATAGGTACTCTGGCTGGTCTAGAGTTGGCATAGGTAAAGCCTGTGCCCAGTGTGGCTCCGCGGAAACATTTGGTTCCGGAGTATAGCCCGGAGTGGGACACAGGCTGGCCTGGAGTTGGCTCAGGTAAGACACTGCCTATGGTGACTCCGTGGCGGCATTCGGATCCGGACTGGCCCAGAGTGGCACTCATACCAACCGTAACTTAATCCCAGTCTTTCCAAAATGAAGTTAAAATACATAAAATCATTCAACTTATGAAAACTAAACATTGGTCAGCGCTGAGTTTGGAAGAAAGATACATCATTAGCCAAGTCATTGAAATGATTGTGGATGCTATCAGATTCTATGAATTGCCCTCTTCTACTGGGCCTCATAAAGAATTGCGCAAAGTACGAAATTGGAAAAGCACAAAATGGTTAGTGAAGGGCGAAGCTCAGTGTATAAGCGGCGCCTTGTTAGGCGCCCAGACTGGTCTAGAGCTGTCTCTTATACACATCTAGATGTGTATAAGAGACAGGTGTGTGTGTGTGTGTGTGTGTGCAACTGCAAGAAAAGAGAATGGGCTTTTATTTGAAGTTATTTCTGCTCTTCTTTTACGTTTGCACTCCCTGCCCCAGCCTTGCTGCTCTTCAGATGTGGCTGATCTGGACCATTGCCTTGTTTGTCTGCTGCGATTGAGAGGTTGGTTTTTTCTTTTTTTCAATGATGAGGTTATTAAAACTTGAAAGCGAGGCGACGACCAGCTGTCAGCGTGGGAGACTTAATCCAGGCGTTTCCGATGCCGTAAGGAAGAAGGGGAAATCATTTTCATAATTTATTTTTGTCCTTCGGGGCATCCGTTAAAATTGGAACTATAAGCTGGGAAGAGGAAATAGTCATTGGGGTTGCCCGCTCAACCTTTGCTATCCAAAACGCTGTAAAGAGCCTTTGTTGCCTAGGCGGGTTTCCCACCACGCAATGACTATTTCCTCTTCCCAGCTTTTAGCTATCGAGATTTCTTTTTGTAGTCCGATATATTTTTGGAATTTGGATTGGTTGTTTTTAATCGTTTGCCTCCTCGGATGACATATTTCATAGGAAAAAAAAAAAAAAAAAAAAAAGGAACTATACAACACAGAAGATTAGCACAGCCCCTTTAAAAAAAAAATGTAATTTAAAAAAAAAAAGATATATCATATATTTATTATTATTTTTCTTCTTTTTCTTTTTCCGTTCTTGTTCCATCACATGCCAAGCTTTGCTAACAAGCCCTGATCTCTTCTTTTCTTCCCTTTTTTTTTTTTTTTTTTTTTTCTCCCTCCTGTCCTGCCGACTTGCTTGTCTTCCTTTTTTGCCGCAATTGCCAGGCTCATCTGTACAGTGAGGTTAAGAAGAGTGGCATCACAATCGTGAGCGTTGGCCACAGATCGAGCCTCCTGAAATACCACGACCTTCTGCTGAAATGTGTGTCGACGACACAAGAAAGGGGCGGAAAGATGGACAAGGCATGGCTGCTGCTGCCAACCAACGACTTGACGCCACCTGTCCAGATGGAGATCATCCAAGAAGAGGAAGACCAAGAGGAGGAGCAGCAGCAGCTGGAACAGCAGGTATAGGGATAGGGAGGGACCATGTATAGAACCAGGTTTAGGACCTGGTACAGGATTAGATAAAGGAGGTCATAAGATACATGTTCTATACCTGTTATAGGACCTGGTACAACAGCAGCAATGTCGCCTGTTGAGATGTTCTATACCTGGTATATTATGTAAAAGACTTGGCTGGCATAGGATCTGGTATAGAAACAGGTCCGACTTTAGGGATGGCACCTGAATGAGATGCCTTAATTAGTCCTATACCGTGTATAGAACCAGGTTTAGGACCCCAGGTATAGAAGCAGATATAGGACCAGATACATAGGACCAGGTATGGGACCACGTATAGAACCAGGTACGGAACCTAGTTGGTATAGAACCAGGTATAGGATAAGGCTCAACTTCAGAATCTATCTAGTGATGAGATGTCGTTCATGAATCACCTTTGTAGGAATGTAAGAAGGGGGATGT